CTCACAGTTGATTACCATTTGACTGAAACAGCCCTCTTGAGGGCCCCGTGGTCCTTCAAACTCACCTTCACACATCCAGTCAAGGCCAAGGGATTTACTTTTTCCATCTGAGTTCCATTTGGATAAATTTATTTCATAAATGCCCTTTTCTGTAGGTAAACTCTTGGTCCCATATGGTGACTCTAAATCTGGAAAAAAATAACATTTTGTTTCCTTTTAAGGAAACTGAAAACACAAACGAATCTAACCCCAAACCAAAAACTTCTCAAACAGAAATAAAACTTCTCCAGGAGAACAAACACGAATCACCTAGGCTCCTGTTAAATGTACAGTCTGCTTCCGGCACCACAATACTTAATGAGGAAACACCAGGGGCACTCCTGCTAAAGTCAGACAAGGAAAAGGAACTGCGTCTTAGCCCTACTATTTCCCATCACCTGACACAACTAAGCAAAAAGCAAATGGGGGGGCAGATCTCAAAGCTAAAGACGGAAAAGGGCACAATTTGCAGATGATGTGATGCCATACCTGGGAAACCCAGGAAAATCAAATATAGAACAAATGTGAAAAACAAGAATATACAGCTGATTACCTGGGTATAAAATTAATATTCTTAAATTAATATATATGTCAGTCATATAATGAAAAGTGATTCTGGACAAAAAGACCCATCATCAAAGGCGATAAAAGGGACAATGTGTAGGATTAACTGTAACAAACACGGTAAACGCCTGTGAGGGAATGTTTAGGAGGATCTGACCATCAGTGAGGACGCTAACTCCAACGGGCTGCAAAACCTGCAACATGCTTAAATTCACGAGTTCGTAATGATGCTAGGAAGTGTTAGATGATCAGCTTTGGAGCATGCTGGCCAACCAGCCCTTTATTATGAGAACTAATAATTTTTCCCTTCAAAATGTTTTTATCCACGATGAACAGTGTCACTACATGGCCAACCAGCCAACGGAGCACAGTTTCTCCATAAAGCATTAGTAGAGCAAACAAATAAAGGAGAGACAGAAGATCGCCATGGTGAATGCCCACTGAGCAGTGGATCTAGGCACTGAGCGTCAGTGAGCCATACCGGATAACATCTTGTGATATTAGAACGTAACAGCACCCAGGAAGAAGTATTAGCGAAAATTAGATAAAAGGAAAAAAGCATTCGAAGCTAGGATGCCAACGAACTTGCAGGAGCTACAAAGGGCACGGGGTCACATTATCTATACCCCTGCTACTCAAGGTGTGGTCCCCGGACCAGCAGCATCAGCAGCATGTGAAGCAGGAGCAAAATAGGAGACCAGTGGGAGGGAACGGGGCAAAGATCAGGTTCACGGTGGTGACTTCTTCCCCAGAAGCTGTCCATGGCCTTCTTAGGGAGCTTTCCACGCCCCGGGGTACGCCTGCCCCCCGCCTTGCCTGGCTGCTTACTGCAGCGGTGGCTTGTCCCAGCCAGACTCTCCTCTGTACTGTCCTCCCTCGCCACCATCACGGCTCTTTCCTTTGCTCCTCAGCAAGTCACATCTGGCTTAGAAATAGAAGGTCCTGCTTTCGAAAAAAGAAATGCCACCTGGTGCAGAATTTAAAAAAAAAATTATATGCTCAAAAATTCATTGTAGGGGCATCTGGGTGGCTCAGTCAGTTAAGTGTCTGCCCTTGGCTCAGGTCGTGATCTCCAGGTCTTGGGATCGAGCCCCAGGTCAGGCTCTCTGCTCAGCGGGGAGTCTGCTTCTCCCTCTCCCTGCACTGCCCCCGTCGTGCTCTCTCTCAAATGAATAAATAAAGTCTTAAAAAAAAAAAAAAAAAACCTTTGATGGAGACTTAGTCAAATTTATGACAAGCTGAAAGTCAATATGATAAGACTTCAGAAAAGAGAAAGGATTAAAGAGCAGGAAACCTGATAGGAAAGGTCTTATTTTAAACTTCCGAGGGCCTTACCCGTGGAGGCAGGTACAAGAGGGTAGGTGACAGTGTGCATTCTTGGTTCGGCCTCCCCTGTCGGATCAAGTCACTCCGTGCCTGAGTATACTCACCTACAAATTAGACTTAGCGATCGTGCCTACCTCAAAAACTGGTGGGATTAAGGTGAAGTGTACTTGCTCACACACACAGTGCTGCCAATGCCTGGTACAGGGTGAGCACAACATTAGCCGTTACTATTATGGCTGTCATTTCTCTAACAGAGAGACAAGACATAACCGGAGACATTGACAAGATGTCATCCAACGTGTAACTCAGAATTCAGGAATTGTAACTTTCAACCTCACTCCAGGTACAATGCTTGCTTTGGTTTTACGTGAATGCTGTCCATTCAATCCACATCAAATGCAGGCTGGTTTACTGAAGGCAATCAAGTTCCCTGAAGGGGGGTCCCCAGAGAACCACAGGCCATCAGCAGCAGTCTGGGCATGAACATACTATCACAGTATGAAGTTCAGCTCTTTGAGGATGGGTGTGAAATCAACAGCCCAGAATCTGAATCCACCCTTTGGTCACTAAGGAGGAGAGACGATTACGGGAAGGGCCAGACAAAGGTGGGAAGGGGGCGAGGAGATGAAGGTGCGTGACGCCCATTTTAGATGTGACAAGGCTCAAGACACTTCTTGAGAAGAAGAAGAAATTCATTTCTTGGAAGTCAGTCCTGACATTCCCAGTGGAGGGAGCTGACATTCCAGGGGGCAGGCAACTCACCCAGGGAGACCAGGTTACTGTAGTTCTCCAACATCACATCCCAGTACAGGTCCCTCTGCGTGGAGTCCAGGCATGCCCACTCCTCCTGAGAGAAGTCGATGGCTACATCTGAGAATGTCACCAAACCCTGAAAACACAAACCCACACATCCCGGAGATGAAGGACGGCACAAAAAGGGCTCTTCTGCTCTGGGTTGGGCTGGACACGGCAGCAGACCACAGGCCTGTGACATGCAGAGGGCACAGTGGGGACTGTGACTGAGCAGAACTCCTAATGCTCCTCAAGAGCCCGCTACCTGGTAACATCTTGGCAAGTGTGGATGCCTGTGGCACCTTTTCCATCCTTCAAGGGAAGGAAAATGCCTAGGGTTTTGTTTCTGTTGTGTGAAGTGAGATCTTTTATTTTTGAAACTAGGGTTTACGTGTCTGAATGTTCTCAGCCTCAAGGTCATCATTTTGCCAAGGTTTTAAGCAGTCTTCTATGTAACGACAAAAGCATTTTCTTATTCCATCATAGGGATGAACTGGACTTCATTCTTACAGTTGTACACTTAGGTAAAACCAAACATCTAAGGTTTTCCCCAGTTCTGGGGGTGTATGATCACCTGGGACTTACATACTGAGTGACCTTCTTACCCATTACGACCTACCACCCCTGCCTTTTCTCTGCTTCTGATTTAGGATACTGGTGTCAAATGATGTGGTTGCACACAGAGGTCTGGAGGGTCTGCTCGACAACACGCACCCCTTAGATCACCTAGTAACATCATGGCCTCTCAGTGCTCTGGCCCCAACCACACCCCTATCCAATCCCAAGAGCCTCATGGAGCTGACACAGAGACCAAACAACGTGAGCATTCCCTCCTCTCTGCCTGGGAAAAACATCCGTGGAGAACAGCAGGGAGTTTTAGTTTTTGCGTGTGGTCAAATGGGACCACCATCTGCAACTCATAAGCCACACACGTGACTCAAGTATTTCTCTCAAAGGACTCTCCACCCCCACTGCTCCAGCATTACTCTTGACAAGGTGAGCACAGAGGAGAACCTGAATCCCCAGCTCAGTGGTGAAGTGGGCATTAGCCACACAGGTGGGCACAGGGCTATACGGCACTGTTGTTCGCCGGAACAGGAAGAACCAGGCAGTGGGTAATTATATGGCAGGAGGCTTCAGGATAATTCACAAAAATAGCCACAAGACCTAAATATCACATTTCAAGAAGGAAAGAGAAATACATACTTACGTGCGCCATAGTTTTAGAATCAAGAACTGATCAGTCCTCTTGGGGTTTCTTTTACCAAAGACACAAAATCCACAGAAGCCAGAGATATACGAGAAAAAAAGAGGCATTAAAATAAGTGCACCTTGGTCCCAAAATGACTTCATACAAGCTTCTTGCTCCTCCATCTTTGCTTCCAAACCCCCCCACCCTAGCCGTTTCCTCCTCCCCAACACGCACACATCAACGTGACACATGGGAGAGGATGAAGAGGGATCTGGACAAAAGGGAAAAAAGCTCTCCCTGAAGCCCTATGGAACCCAGCTGTGCGCACAGAAGAGTTTTTATTTATTTGTTTTTGCCTTGAAGTCAGACCTTTCATCTGTCATTTCTCCGTATGACTTAAAAAAAATTTTTTTAAAAAGTAGGCTCTATCCCCCACATTGGGCTTGAACTCATGACCCTAAGATCGAGAGCCCCTCAACACAGTTTCTTTAACTGAAGTATGCGGACACATGATGTTATGTTAGTGTCAGGCGTACAACACGGCGATCCCACAAGTCTGTACGTTATGCTGTGTGCACCACAGGGGCACTGCCACCTGTCACCACACATGCTCTCACAGTACCACGGACTATGTTCCCTATGCTGTGACTTTCTTCCCCGTGACTCACTCCATAACTGGAAGCCTGGGCCTCCCTCCCCTCTGGCAACTATGTTAGTCTGTTCTCTGGATTTATGGGTTTGTTTCTGTTTGTTTGTTCATATGCTTTATTATTTAGTTAAGTTAAGTCATATGGTTTTTCTCTTTCTCTTTTCATTTAGCCTAATATTCTCTAGGTGCATCCATCTTGTTGCAAATGGCAAGATCTCCTTCTTTTTTGTCTTTTGCCCCCAACTTCTAAGAGGTAATCTACATTGTACCTGATAGGAACGTCTTTGTTTTGGGTGAAGCTGGCCATCCCCAACCAGTCTTAGGGTGGGAACTGGCTACACCAAGAAGACCAACCAGGTGATTCAGGGTGGGTGCTTTGGGTCATGGGGTATCAACTGGCCTGGGGATTGAGATTAACATGGGGACAATGAGTCAGTCATGTCTGGACGATCAGTCATTCAATCAATCAACTGTGCCTATGTGCTGAAGCCGCAGTGGAAACTCTGGGCCTCGAAGCTCAGGTGAGCTTCCCTAGCTGGCGATACTCTATGCATGTTGTCCTATCGTGACGCCGACAGAGCATCCAGTCCTAACTCCAGGGGGACAGGACACTGGAAGCTCCATGTTGGGGACACTCCTGGACACTAGCTTATGTGCTTGTTTCCCTGGCTGGTTAATCTGCATCCTCTCCCTGTAATTACCTGGAACTGTGAGTAGAATGGCTCTCAGTGAGTTCTAGGAATCCTTCTGGTCCTGAGGGTGGTTTCAGGAAAGTCCTGAACATGGATTTGGGTGTCAGAACTGAAGGTGATCTCGTGTGGATACTGTGGTCCCAAACCTCTCAGTCTGGCTAACTCTGGGCAGGTGCACTGTGATTCTGGACCTGAGATGGGGTGCGTTTAGGATGCTTGGTCTGATGCTGAGCAACATCCCACTCCCTCTAGCCACACCACCCAGGGTGAAGAGGGGCTGCACCATCCAAACTTGAACCTCTCCTGGCCTCTAGGTAGGGTGAGGTTGGTCAAAACATGGCAGATGGACAGGGTGGAGAAGCAAAGGCCCAGGCAACATTCAGCGCCCTGCGCCCAGAAAAGCTCACTGCAGAAATACATGCAGAGTATTGATGTAAAAGAGTCAAGGATCATGAAATGTTTGAAGAAATCCTTACAAGACAGTAACACTTCAGATACACTGTCAGCAGAGAAATCAGGCTACCAAAACAGGATACAACAATACACTTGTAAAATTCTATATACGAACATATGTGTCTATGTATACATACACACAGGATGCACGTATATAGGATACGTGTGTGTGTGTATATATATATAGAGAGAGAAAAGAGACACATACAGACAGAAGCAAACCATAACATCAACAGATAGATAGATCCCTTGTGCAGAAAGAGTAATGAGCAGGTTTGAAACTGCTTGCAAGACTGGCCCTTAGCTGGACTTCCAGAAGGTCCCCACTGTTCCCTAACTGACAAGAGTGGCTCACTGCTCTTCAACTGTTTGTATAAAAGATGTGGTTTATACTGCTGGGCGCTTGCTTGCCTCTGGGAGTCTGGAATTTTGGTATGTGCCAGAGAGAGGGTGTCTGTGTGACTGACCGCTGATAAAAACCCTGGCCTCCTTGGCCCAGATGAGCTTCCCTGGTGGACAAGGCTTCGCATGTGTTGCTGTAACTTGCTGCTGAAGGAATTAAGCATGCCTTGTGTGGACTGCACTGGGAAAGTGCCCTGGGAAGCGTGTGTCTGGTTTCCTCCTGATGTCATCCGTCTTCTGCGCCTCTCCCTCTGCTGATGGTGCTGTGTGTCCTTTCATTGTAATAAATCCTGGCCTGGAAAAGGACTATGTGGTGAATCCTGTGAGTCCACCTAGACAATCACAGAACCTGGTGGCGGTCCTGGTGATTCTGACACACCTCTGACCTTGATTTTCTTTTTTAAATATACCTCACTGGGTGTGTAACAAGAGCCAGGCTTTGGCCTGACATATGTATGTGTGTGTGTTTATTTCTTTTCAATTCATAAATGACAGACTCTCAGAGAAACTTCTCTTTAAACAGTTTCCTTTTGAGGTACCTTTGCATTATTTTATACACAACCTTTGTTTCTTTTTGCTTAATACCTAAACTAACTCTTTGATGTCTACCTATACCCACATATGTCAGGGCACTGACTGGAAAAATGACTAAGATTCCAAGGGACAACCTGTACATATTGACAGCTATCTTGGTGGGAGGGTGAACTTGACTTCTGAGCTTGTCCTTCCAGCCATGGTGTCCTGTGGAATGCTAAACCACCCGACCCTGTTAGTCTTCACTTTGTGTCAACGTCATTAGAGAAAACATGTTAAGGTATAAAACTTAGAAAACAAATTCCATTGTATGCCACACAGAGCCCATGTGTTCAGAATTATCTGGTCATAACCTGACAACAGTGGCCACAGTAAGAATGATGTCCCCTTCCCAGCACCTCTCAGGGCACAATCACCTAGAAGTCTCTACAGGCCTTGACCGCAGGCTGCCCTGGGCTTCCATCCAGTTTCCCTTTCTGGCTGCCTCATAAGCAATGTGCAGGTAACAATGTCCTCTTAGTCATCTGCTGTTCCAAATACTCCTATCATACTGTAAGCACTTAACAGAAGTATAGTTTTGATGCAGTATTCTGCTTTTTGAAACTTATCCCAAGGAAATAGGTACAGCAGTGCACAAATATATATACCAGAATGTTCAAGGGCTATGTTCCAAAAATTTTGAGATAAGTGTAGATTCACATGCAGTTGTAAGAAATAATACAGCGGGATCCTGTACCCTTTACCCAGTTACCCCAATGGTAATACATCACAAATCTGTAGTACAATATAACCACCAGGACATTGATACTGATGTAATCCATCAATTTTATTCAGATTTTCCAGAGAATCATTTTAAAAAATGAAAAAAACAAGTAGAAATATCTCATGGTAGAGGACAGAGTAAATAAATTATGATCCAATTATGGTCTGCTATAATGGCATCCAATATACTTACTAATAATGACACTGATTTATACTATTTGAGAAAGAAATTTAAGCTGAATTACTAAGTGAAGAAAGTAGGTTTAATAATGTATGCATAATCTGGGAGGAGAGCTCTTGATCAAAGTAAGAGTAAGGCTCTGTGGTCTGACTTTCAGGATTCAGGATGTGAATTTTATTTTTTTAAGATTTTTTATTTATTTGACAGAGACACAGCGAGAGAGGGAACACAAGCAGGGGGAGCGGGAGAGGGAGAAGCAGGCCTCCCGCGGAGCAGGGAGCCCGGTGCGGGGCTCGATCCCAGGACCCTGGGCTCACGACCGGAGCCGAAGGCAGATGCCCAACGCCGGAGCCCCCCCGGCGCCCCTCAGGATGTAAATCTGAGCTCTGACCATTACTAACCTCACACTGTCTGCTCCCCACAGGTAAGACTGGGGTAGAAAGAGTACCTGCCGGTAAAACTGCATCAAACTTTTCTTAGGAAGATAATCTACATAAAACACAACAATATTAACAGTTACTTAATACAAGTTAGCAGTTATGATTGAAAATCAGTAACACTACACAACCCTTAATCTGATTTTATAGAAAAAACTCAAGCCTGCCTTTTCCTTTCTTCTTGTGATTCTCACACCTGCTGTCTATATAATCCACACTAACTAAAAACTTTCAGAGACTCTTAAAA